TGTGCGTGCCCTGCCGCCCCGGGGCACCCCAGTGCCATCCCAGTGCATCCCAGTGTATCCCAGTGTATCCCAGTGCATCCCAGTGTATCCCAGTGTATCCCAGTGCCATCCTGGTGCCATCCCAGTGCATCCCAGTGTATCCCAGTGCCATCCCAGTGCATCCCAGTGTATCCCAGTGCCATCCCAGTGCCATCCCAGTGCCATCCCAGTGCCATCCCAGTGCATCCCAGTGTATCCCAGTGCCATCCCAGTGTATACCAGTATATCCCAGTGCATCCCAGTGCATCCCAGTGTATCCCAGTGCCATCCCAGTGCTATCCCTGCACCATCCCAGTGTATCCCAGTGCCACCCTAGTGCCATCCCAGTGCATCCCTGCACCATCCCAGTGCCACCCCAGTGCCACCCCTCAGCCAGGCTGTCCTTGCAGGTGGAGGCCTTTGTCACATCCCTGCGAGCCGAGGCTTTCCCGTCACATCCCGACCCTCTGGGAGCCGGGGAAGGGGCAGCGTCCGCCTGAGGATCCCGACCCGAGGACGAGGGACACGTCCTGGTCCCCTCAGCCCGGCTGTCCCTGGCCAGGGCTGGATTTGAGGAGGATTTTGGGGGGGCAGGGGGGCTCCCCGTGCTCAGGGGACCAGGTCCTTGCCGTGACCCCCTCCCCATCTTCCGGGACCCCCAGCTGGGGACGCTCCCTGGGCTGGATTTCCTGCGCTGGATGAATTCCGATGGAAAATCCCCGTTTTTAGGTGACGCCCAACCCCCGTGTTTTGTTATTTTGTATTTAATTTTTTTCCCCCTTTAAATTAAGATCAAATCACTGCTGAGCTGTGTCTGGAGGGGCTGTGCGGGGTCGGGGCGGCTCTAGGGGGGACACGGGGGGACATTGCTCCCCCGGTTTTGGGGTGTTGTGGTGGAGGGGGGGACGGGGCAGTGCCCTGGGGCTGGGCTGGGCTGGATTTGGGGGCAAACCAAGGGGATTTGGCACCTGAAAGGGGGTGG